TTATATTTGTCTTTGGTGCCGAATTCTTCTTCTCATGTCCAAATGCATTTATAATCATTTGTTGTCTTTCAAACTTAGTGATGATGGGGGAAAGGGATCCTGTGGCCGCAGCAGCTCAAAAATATAAGCCCATTCAATCTGCTGTTCCAGGAACTACCTTGGGTCCTATTCCCATTGATGCCTTCTTTAGTGGAGGGGTAAGGAAACACCAAGATGCTTTTTTTTTTTTTTTTTTTTTGGGTTATTTAATTATTTATTTTCTTAGGATGCTCTTATTCTGTGATTGTCCACTCAGCATCTTAAGTGAAATGGTACAGAAATTATACGACACCCCTGGAGTGCATCTCCACCATAGGCAAGGTGCTGTTGTTCCTACAGATGACTTACCTTTACTTGCTCCTCGAAGTCGACTGAAGGGTCGATCAATTCCTGTATGTGTATTTGCTGTTGTTTTTTTCTCTCGTCTCTGCATCTGCACCCATATTTGCTTTACCTTATTAACAAATCATCATATGTTTCAGAGCAACCGAGAAACCATTTCAGGTTCCCGTGGAATGGAGGGTTTCTCAATTTTCTGGGGTGGTCTTGTCAGAGTTGATGTTTTAAAGGTTTAATCTTCACATTTTAGTTGTTATAGTTATGAAACTGTAATGGCGTACCTTGCATGGCTAAGATGCTTCTCATTCTTACAAATTTCAGGTTCTCCCATGTACACGTTTGACCTTCTATGGACCAAAGGCCTTGCAGATTCACATAGTGCCTACAGCAGAAGCTGACGAATTTTACAAGGTAATTTTGTAAGCTATTCTTCCAGGACATGCTTCTCATTTTTATCATCGACTACTCAAATTCCAATGCACATTAAATGATAAGATAAGCTGGTGTATTGGTATTGTGAATAGAAAAGAAGGAAATGTATTTGTGGGATGGAGTTAACAAAATCTGTTTTATTCCATGCAAGAATGTGGCAATGTAGGCTTCATTCATATACTTGTAATAATTTATGCATGAATATGAATGCACTGTCTTGGTTGCTGGATGTTTTGTATGCACCACTAGTCCACTACTGATGTTGGTCGATGGTTTGTATTGATGTTACGGACTTATGGTTTCAGAAAGAAATAGGACTTATGCTTACACCTCCGACCAGCAAGCAAAGAGCAGAGAGTTGGAATGGACTTGAAACAGAGCGCAGATTGCAGTTAAGATTTGATGACCCAGAGAGGTAAGTCAATTGTAATCGTCATTGTTATGGTTTGTGACTTTGTTATATTTTTAGGCCAATCTTTAAAAAATATTCCATCATGATTCATAAATGTTCTAATGTCTTCATTTCCTTCCGTGGCAGACCATCTTCTGATATAGCAATTTCCGGCCTGGGATGGATTACCGTCGAACCAATTAGCAAAGAGCTCAGGATGGCAGATCCAATTCCTGAACTTCCTGATAATGAACTACATTTTAATGTGCACGTTCCAAAACCTGTCGAAATTTTTGTTCGGTCTCCCTTGCCTGTGGGCAAGAGTGGAAGTGAGTGGTACCAGTATAGGGAGCTAACAGAACAGGAAGAAGAATTCAGACCTAAGTGGTATTACTGATTACCGAAAGGTGCAATGAATAAGGATCACTAGGGAACAATACACTTGCTTTGTAGATCCGTGTTAGCCATTTGATGTTTGAGTCAATTTTTTTCGCCTAAATATAGCGATTGTAATAGTGTAGTACTAGCCACAGGTGAAGAGTATTAAATTTTGTAGAGGATGTATAAGCTGGTCATTAGTTTCATAGAAGAAATTTGTACATATGCATCTTTGTATCTATTCTGAAAGTGTACAATATTATGGACACACAAATAATTTCAAATTTTACCGGGAAACAAACCTAACATATGAGATCAAATCTCATCGCAACTCTTTGCGCCCCCAAGTGGCTGCTAAATAAAACCGATTATGATCCAATCAAATCTTTATGATCCTGCATGATCACTTCATAACCCTTAAGAAGCCATGCTGTTGGGACGGTCGTTGACAAATCAGCATCATCTTAATAGAGGTCATGTACGGTGATTGTCCTACACGTTAAATCAACGTGATTTGAGGAAGGGTAGGCAAAATTAATCATTAATTAATGTCTCTATTATTGGTTGACATTTTAAAGTTAAGTCAACCCCTTTGAGTCATAATCATATTAAAAGTCAATAATTATTTAAACTAATAATCTTAGTCAACCTTATTAGTTGGACAAAATCATGCTTTATTGTTGCTTACTGATATCATAACACCAACAAAATGAGGATTTTAGAATTATTTTTTAATGTTTAGGTTGACAATTTTACATTAAGGTGTCCAATTTAATTAGTAGATAATTAGCTAATTAGAAATTAGTTAAGTCAACTCCGAAAACTCCCATTTTTTGGGGAGTGATAATACCTGTTTTAAATTTGTTATAGTGATGACTTGTTAGTATTAACTAATAATCAGTTGACTAATTATTAGTTTATGGTTGAACCTTGAATTTAAGCTAACAAAATTAACTAATAATCAGTTGACAGTTTCATGCGACTTCTTATGACTCTATTGGATTATTAAGGGTCACTTGGGCTTTTGGAGTTTTGGTTCGATAAATGTTGGGTTCAATGAATCTTTATAATCAATGAAATTTAGATACATGGTAACTAAAATTCATCACATCAATAGTTATTATAATGAAAGTGACCTTAAAACAAAACGCTGATGACCGGACTAAGAAATAAACAAATGTGATCTTAAATCAGCAAGACTTTACCGGCCAAGTTAGTTGATATACTCATTGTACACACAGTCAATGGTGAGAAAGGGATTATAATGCATACAGTAAGTACATAAAACCTGTTTTCTCAAAAAAAAAAAAAAAAAAAAAAAAAAAAAACGTGAAAGATTAGATAACGAGACCACATATTCATGACGTACAATATTGAGGATTTAAGGTAGCAATGAACTACCAATATGATCCTTTGCAAACAATAATGCAATACATGTGAGGACCAGTATATGCAATAGATCTGATCTCTATACATAACACTAAGCAGTTTTAAATATTTAATGCTTATACATAACCCTTTGTTTATGGCCTGGTAACATATAAATAAAAAGCCATAGACATATGATGAGTTTTTTTTTTTTTTTTTTTTTTTTTTTGGGGAAAGGAGACATATGATGAGTGTAACGATAGTGTTTCACTTTATTAAATACTTTAAAGTGATTAGTGAGGAGTATTATTGGTGATTAGTATAATGGAGTTTGTGATTCGTCGGTTTGGATATATTATGGCCAACGCATAGAAGTTGGAACCTAAGATAGCAAAATAGCGTTGTTGTTGATACAAGTACAGTAGTATACACTAAACCATCTGACTATCTGAGTTACGTCATTAACTCATTATGACTTTTGGAAAGCGTGGGCGGTTTCTTAAGTCAAACAGAGATGTATTTCGATAATACAAGTATAATTAATTAATTGTATCCTAAATAATACAAGTATATATAGTCTCACAATATCGCACTAATATGTACTGTCACACTTATTATCGTACGTAGATTGCTGGCAAATCTATAATCCATTCGATATGTATCTTTAGCAGCTTATTATTAGCTCCATCTCTCAGAAACTACTCTCACCCTTCCTTGGTAATCACTTGTACTTCGTAGTATTATTACGTGTTCAACTATTTGACCACTTAACTAATTTTTGTACTACCTCCGTTAACAGTTATTTGCAATGATTTGACATAAAGTAGAGAGGAAATATGTCTAATCATTGTAAATAAATGTCAACGGAGATAGTACATCAAAAGCATCAATAACCCCATTTAATAACACGTGTACTAGAGATATTATTTAGTTACTACATCAATACTAGAATTGTTATTTTATTTATTACGTAACTCATATTGTCATCTTAATATTTTGTGTGTGATCAACGTACCATGATTATTTGTTTACTCTATACTCAAATATTCTTTACCGTATTACAATTCTCATATTTTCTCCATTAAACAATAACCTCCGAACCATAAATATTAATAAAGTACTCGGATGTGATTTTTTGTTTGTTTTTTTTTTCTTATAAGATGTATACATAATATTAATAATAAAACGTAATAAAATAATCCCCTGCTCAACAGAACTAGTGATCTGAAATAACATTGATCAAGATGTTCATGGGTACAACCGTATAATATAATGTGCATGGTTGAAAATTTTAAATTGATTAACTATTAAAAAAAGGCTTAATTGTACCATGCACATTGTATAATCAGTTGTACAACAAAAATTATACTACATACTAGCTTTCAATCTGTTGTAACAATCGTATCAAAATGTGATAAAATACAAGTATATGTTTTGAACCTTTGTACATTGATTATATGTATTACAATAAAGACAATTTTATTGTCAAAAAGAGAGGACAAAAAAAAAAAAAAAAAAAAAAAAAAAAAAAAAAAAAAAACCTTGATCTTAACATTCTATTCTTTTCCCAAAAAAAAAGTGAGAATATACAGAAAGATCACAAGATTAGTGAAGGACAAGACATAATCTATAGTGTACATAATATTTTGGATGTTCAAGAATACAATGTTGTAAAGAGTTGGGCAATGGGAGACCACATCATAGCAAGTTCCTAAAATCAAAGAAATCACAAGTTTAAATCCCAAAAGACAAGGCAAATCCTAAGGTTATGATTTGCTTTTAATATCCCCTTAATCACATTATAATCTTTCATTAACTCCCCTCTTTCGAAGGACACACATTAAAACATTAGTTTAATTTATTTGCTGAACTGTCTAAAGGATACGGTTCTTCTTTATATTATACAAAATTATTTATTCATTGTTACATATTTTTAAATCTTTGACTTTTCATGAAATGTATATATAGGTAGACATTTCCAAAGAAATTTCATAAGTTTATTTGTTTCAAATTATAAGTATATTATAACTGAAATTAGAGAGAGATTAGAAAGATGAGGTGTAATTTAGCAAGATTAAACACTGGAAATGTGTTTCCTCTTCTTGGGTTAGGCACTTATTCTTCTTCATATGATCATGAAACAACACAAAAAGCCATTCATATGGCTATTAAGGTATGTACATTTTGGGTCGTTTAAATGATATTGACATCTTAACTATCTCTGTTTCTAAATGGTGTTTGACTTTTTATGTGAGACAATCATTGTCAAAGTAGAAACAACATTTAGAGACGGATGAAGTGTATTTTGAAATTGAGCATTTTTTTTTTTTGCAAGTTGGGAAATGTACTTTATACTCCGTAATGGATAGTAGATTAGTAACTAGGGTGCAATATTTGTTCATGCAGATGGGTTATAGGCATTTTGACACGGCAAAAATATACGGAACCGAGCCAGCTCTAGGGAAGGCTCTAACGGAGGCAATTAGTGATGGTGTGGTTGAAAGAAAAAATATTTTTGTTACGTCCAAGCTTTGGTCTAGTGATCACGACGATCCAGTTTCCGCTCTCAATCAATCTCTACAGTAAGTATAATCTCTTTTGTATCTTGAAACAATATTAGACAAACGTGTCCTATTATTTAGGGACACAATACTTTATTTACGTGTACATTTTCTTCTTGATTCATTTCATCTAGGATTAAGATTAGGTGAAATGAACAACTTTCTTTGGTTATGTGCCAAATTGTGAAAGCTCATGTTACTAAAGATATGTTTTGGGAATGTGAAACAGAAATTTGGGAATGGAGTACGTGGACTTGTACTTGGTGCATTGGCCCGTAAGGTTCAAATCATGGGCCGAATACCCGGTTCCGAACGAAGAGGATTTCGAAGAGACGGACATGGAATCTACTTGGGCAGGCATGGAGAAATGCCTTGACTTAGGCCTTTGCAAAGCTATTGGTGTTAGCAATTTTTCCACCAGAAAACTTCAACACCTTATGAATTTTGCTACTGTATGTCCTGCTGTTAATCAGGTATGCTTTTATCATATTTCACAAGTTTTGTGGACTTGGGTTTTCGATGAAAGTTTATGTTGAGACGTGTATAGGATGTTACGATTATTTTGGGACAGAAGAAATATCGGAAAGGAAAACTAAACTAGTAACAATAACTAAGAAAGATCACTATATGACATGTCTTATTAACTTGGGCATAAATAATAATTGGTGTTTGATATGAAATGCAGGTAGAAATGCACCCAATGTGGAGGCAAAACAAGCTGAGAAAATTTTGCAGCGAGCATAAGGTTCATGTGAGTGCATATATGCCCCTTGGTGGTCCTGGAAATTTCTGGGGCTCGACGTCGATAATAAAAGACCCCATCATCCAGTCCATTGCTCAAAAACACAGAGCAACTCCTGCTCAGGTATTATATTTCAGCCACAAATATTCCATTTCTGGCAACTCTATATAATTTGCAACTCTGAATGACATGACGCGAATGAATGTGTTGTTTTTCAGGTTGCACTAAGATGGGGAATGCAGAAGGGAGTTAGTGTTATTGTAAAGAGCTTCAATGAAGGCAGGATGAGAGAGATTATAGGAGCCCTCGATCTCAAGTTGGATGATTATGATATGATCAGCATTGAGAAGTTGGCAGAGAGAAAAATACTGAGAGGAGATCATCTTATCAACAAAACAACCAGCCCTTACAGGACAATTGAACAGCTTTGGGATTACGAGATCTAAACACTAAATATTGTACTCCTAGGAAAGTAGTTTGATCAACACTTGCGCCAGTAGTTACATCTGTAAATGTACAAGCAACCGGGCAAGAAAGTTGAAAGCCACATCTGGAAATCCACAACAGGATAAAATCAGTGTGAATAGTCGGCATAAGATTAACATCTCCTGATCATATAAGTTTGAGAGAGTTACATTTTACAACATAAAATATCTTCTGAACATAACAGCTAGAGCTTACATATTACAAAATAAATTAGCATCTTATTGAGGAAATTCTACAATACATAATATCTGTATCTTATCACTCGCTTTGATACATCTAAGAGACCCTTTAACAGGGATTATTTGGACAAAAACCCTTATTTCCTTCAGGATCTTAATCATCTTATTATGGATAATTAATACAAGAAAGTATACAACCGCCCCTGTCTGATGTTCAAATCATCCTTGATGACTCAATTTCAATCTGTTTGCTTGGTCAGTAATGGCATCAAGACCATAATAGCATCACCTGAGACATGTTTAAAAAGAAAGGCAAACGTGTGTCAAAAAGGTGAAAAGAAAGATAAAGATTTATTAGTATTAGTATAAGATAATTCATTCACTATGGATTTTATTACAGATGATTAGTATTAGAAACTAGAAAGTAATAATTAGGACAGTAGACAGTTTAAACACCCATCAGGGCCATCAGGCATATAAAGCCATCAATCCAAGCAGGTGAAGTGATTGTTACTAAAACCTCATTTTGCAACAGCAGAAGGCCATCAATCTAAGACTTAGGTTGGGGTTCCTTCAGTATAATCCACTTAATTTTCTTTACTAACTAGAAAAGGGCAGTCCAAAGTCTTTACAAAAAAAAAAGTCATTAATACAATATGGAAAGATGCTTCACAGTCAATGGAAAGTACAGCTTATAGCAAATAACATACCGGGTAACACTATAGACACGTGCATCCATTCTAGCTCTTGGCTTGTTGTTTGGGGGTGGACACAGAAGACGTACCTTGTTCAATGCACTGGTACAAAAAAATTCTTAGAAGGAAACAAAGCATACAGAAATGACATTTAATATATCTATGCCTATAGTGAATGACTGAATGGTGATTATACTACAAGAAGCCTTCTTTCTTTGCCTCTGGCCTCTGCCATTCAGCATCATACATCATTATGGAAGATGCTCATACCTGAAGAAGATAGCTGTGCAGCCAATCCAAGGTTTGGGGGAAAGTTGTCGCAGATATATTCACTACAGTTAGACCCTGTAACATAAAATAAATAGCAAATAAGGAACCAAGACGTGGACATGAAAGAAGTCCAAGGCATATTCTCTAAGTCTAGTAAAATCCCCAGCCCATGCTTCATCTCCTTTACACCCTACCCTGAACAAAGCAATCGCATCCAACGATAAAATCTTTAGCCATTAGAAGACCATCACTTGCACCTGATTTGTCTAATGATCTTAAAAGCAGAACCATCCACCTGCTTTTGCAGAGGATATATTATGAGAACCAAATCCTCCACAGACAACCATTTTCTCCATGAAGTGGGTGACCAAGCCGATCATCACAGACTACTCACAAGACTAAGCTGTGGCCTTTCAGGGGTGATGAATAAATTTTAGCCCTAAACAGGAGGGAAAAGGAAGAAACACAAGCATACCTGAGACTCAAATGAGCAAAGGTAGTCTTGAATAATCTTTAAATTCTTCATTAGCTTATCTTTATCCTGCAGAAAAGTAAATAACTAAAATAAGTAATCAAAAGTAGAAACAAAGGAACAATTTGATACATGAGATCATTTGATATCATCACTTTCATGAAGGAATTAACAGCAACATCATAAACAGAACCACACTGCAAATTCAATTGCACAGATATCAAAAATTATAAAAATAATAATAACTGCAAGCAAGTGTTCAATACTTTGATGTATCACATGACCAGAAATTTTTCAACAGTGATAAGAAACAATAACAAAATGGGGAAATTTGAGGACCTAATTACTTGCCAGTTGTTGCAAGCATAGCTTTTGCAAAAGAACAGAATCAATTAATTTACCTTCACAACACTGTTATCACTGAATGTACGAGTTGGGATCCATTCCTCGAGTAATGCCTTCACAAGTCAGGAAAATTCCAGTTATAGTTACCGTGGAAAAAGTAAATACTACGATGAAAAAAAAAGCAAGTACATGCCAAAGGCATCTGCAAACATACACTGGCCAAAATGCACTACGTAAGGATCTAGTGATCTACATCCCACCCCTGCACCCCCCCCCCCAAAAAAAAAAAAAAAAAAAAGAAGAGCAAGCTTCCAGAAAATTGTGATTATGGAAATACATAGGCAATGACTTCAATAATATATGAAAGACCAAAAAGATCCTTGCTTTGAGTAGTGAAATACATAGCCCAAAATCCAAATTAAAGGCTCTCTTTCAAGTCCATCAGCATTGAGGGTTACAAGCAACACTTGCTAATCTCAAGACCCTAGACTCCTAGAGCACTATTTATCTTTCACATAAATTCAATATGACTAGCATAATTCTAATAGCTTTAAATAAAATAAAAAATAAAAAAAGTTTAAAAATTGAAAAAGAAGAAAAAAAAAAGAGTGAAGGAAACAAGAAAAGGTTCAGAATGTCTCGTAATCTAAGTTAGAATACCAGAATACCTCATGGTCAAATTCAGCCATTTTAAGAACAATAGGTACAATAATTGGTTCAGCCCCAGATCTCTCTTTCTTTGTTTGAGGGTTTTCATCAATCTTCGATTCTTTGAGAGTCTCAACTGCAAAACCCTAAAGAAGTAAGAAAAGCTTACACTGTACTAACTAATGTATTGTTTGGAGAGACCTATCAAAAGTAGCAAATAATGACCAAATGAAATCAATATTCTATACAAAGAAGCACAGAACAGTTTCTTTGTCAATATTGCAAAAGGAAAAATAAATTTAAAAAGTTTAAGTGCCAACCTTTATCAACAGAGGCTCTATCTTCAATATTAACAGAAGCAAGAGAGCTTAGAGCTTCATGCATCTGGTCAGAGGATACTGGTTCCTCAGAACTTGTATTCTCAGCACAGAGGCTTCTACTTCCAGAATCAATATCGCCATTATCAGCAGGTTGGTTTTGTAATTGGCAGGCAGGATTATCAGCTGATGGATCAGATGCAACCTTTGTCTCTTCAACTTTTGGTTGTGTTTTCATGGACAATTTATTATCATCATCCATTAAGTAAATACTAGGATCTAAATGTACTCCCTGAAATAAATACGTAAGTCACAAAAGCATAAATTACATCATATTTGCCATTTCTACTCATGAAAGTAAGACACTTGGGCCAAGAAGTTACTTTCCCTCCATAGGTTTTAAGGTCCATCAGTGAGAAAAAAATTTAAGAAAAAGGCAAAGAGTACCTCAATTATAATAGGTTTTCCATCTTTCATTGCTTTCTTGAGATCTCCAGCCAAACCTGAAAAAATGAATAATAATACTCACTCATAATCCCACATTAATAAAATAATTTAATAGTATATTCATGAAGGACCCTGAAAAATGAAGCGGTAGCATTGAGTTCATCTTTCCTATCCCAGATGAATAGTTTGAGCCTCACCAAGAGCAGACCCGCTATGTATATATATATATATATATATATAGGTCTAGCTTTTGATAACTTTCTTTATTCAAATAAAAGACACTTGTTCAAACCTCATATGCTTGCTTTTAAATTACGATAAAAAATGGAAGAAAGGGAAGATTGATAGAAGGAAAATTATTTTTATATAAGATGCACTTTACTTTTTTTACCAAGTGCATTCACCTTGGTTATGTTCAAAATTTTAAATGAAAAAAGAATTATTTCATTTCCTTCCAGCTCCTTTCACAACATCCAACAAAGCAAAGAGTTTCACATTAAAAAGTGAAAATGTATGCTTGTACATTATAAATTTTAATCCACTGAACCAAAATTTAAGCTAGAATAGTTATCACCTTTACGAACAATCCTACATTCTCTGCAAAATTCTGTAATGAACTCGTCAGAAGAATCAATTTCCCTTGCCCATACAGGAGTAGATGTCAACGGAGCCCTGCATATATTTTAAAAGTAGCTTAACCATTTGCAGAAACTACCACAAATAATCTTTTCCCCAGTTTCATCATTCAAGTGCAATTAACATTTATAGATGCTCTTTCACGAAAAAAAATAAAAAAATATATATATATTTAATTTTAGATCAAAGATCGTCGAGACAACTGTGCAAAGGGTATTTTGCATACTTTATTGCTTTTGTTATTTCATAATTTGTATAAATGATTGTTATTTGACCCATATTTTCTTCTAAGGGTATCTTCAGAGTGTGGGTGTGTGTGTTTCCCAACTCATGAGTGTGGTCAGATCAAAGCAGTGCACTATAAAACCTTAGATAAGAGTTCAAATGACAGCTGGATGCTGAGATTAACTTATAAATTTTAGATGATGAGCTAATATCATTGCTAACAATCCAAAGTGAGAAAAGACAAGTACATTACTCTGTTGATGTGCGAAGCAATTCGTAGACCATGTCAGTCTGCAGTGTTAGAAAGACAATAAGAATGATATCAGTGCAGAAAGATCATGGAAAAGTTCATTTCTTTCTCCAGAAACTCTAAGAATAGGCAAACAAAAAGAAAATTCATAGAAATATGTAAACAGGTTCACCTGTAAAACATTTGGTAAATTTAATCTTTGTGCAAGTTGTGTAGCAATGGTGGACTTCCCAGTACAAGCAGTTCCACAGACAAGAATGACCAGTGGCACCCGCTGATGGTGAAACCTAAAAGGAATATGAACATAGATACAATTCAAATTAATAGAAAATTGACATTCGAGTTATTTTAATCGTCATAAATTACAAAATAGCTAAAACGTAAGAGAGCGAGAGCAATAAAACCCTAGATAATTAGAAGTAAGACAATAAACCTTGTAACAAGGTGAATAATATATTCTTTGCACTAACCTGGTCATCATCTTATAACGATTGATGTACTCTTCACCATAGCCCCTACGTTCCATAAGCTGCAAATAGAGTCCTATAAGAAGGTTTAATGAAATCACATTTTGAATACAGTCAATCTTGATGTTTGTAAATGAATTTGATGCCATATAATTTCTTGCAATGGTCATGAAGACAACAAATAACATCAAAATTTCTATACACTATGAACAGGGAGAGATCAGTCCTTCCATTCTTCATTCACATTTTTAAAACTGGACTACCGGAGAATACTTAATCCCTCATCAAATTTGGGATCATAAAACCATTGAGATCATGTCTAAATCCCTGATAGTTATTAATTAAAATCAATACAGCATCTCCTTATAAACTAAAGATACAGAGCTAAGAGCCACATGTTTCAGTTCTTCAATCTAAAGCCTTACATTGCTAATAAGACAAGTAAGAAGTGCATATTCAGAGTTAGTTATGCGTAATTTCAAGCACGAATTCAATAACTACATCATATTTCTCCAATCTAATTTCAAAGAATAAGTGCCTACGAAGAAATAACAAAGGGAATCAAAAGACAGAGACAGACCCCATGCACAAGAAAAACAACTAAATTATGTACAGAAACTGGTTGCCACCTTTTGGTTTTTTTTTTTTTTTTTTTTTTTTTTTTTTTTTGTCCTCTATGGTCTACAAATGGATACTAACCCAATCTATTCCCAGTGTATTACACATTTTTAGTTAAATCTAACTCATTGATTGCACTCAGACTTTGTGAAAGTCAACATGGAATACTCTATAGGAGAAGGGGAGTATGAAGTCAATATTTATACATGTGACAAAACAACTCTAGCTAACCACCAAAATCCTTGAATAAAAGATTGTTAGCTAACACTCTATTGGTTGGTTGCTGTTACTTGTTAACATGCTTCAGCATTTCAGTTCATGTTCAAGTAAATGGCAACAAATAAAAGATATATTAAATCAAGGTTGATGTTAAATGTGCAGAAATAAGGTACTAGGAGCATGATTTTGTCAGAAATTTAAAACATTGAGACATGCTCTGGGTGACAAGTAATTCTCGTATCCCTGAACAGACAGCAGTTTGAAACGTATACCTTAAATAGATTGGCCTCCAGGTCATTCTGAGAGCTGCATGATGACAGTATCGTTTATTAGTTCCATGCAAAATAACGCTTAAATAATTTAAAGCAAAAACCAACTGATGACATACACATCAAGCAGGCTGTTGTCGATAAGCAGCTTTTTAAGTTCCAGAGCAATCTTGATCGCCACGTGATTAGGAATCTAAGAAAGTGAAAAAAAAATGCAACATCAAAATAAAGGTTATTAAAACAACATTCAACATCAAGAGCTCAAACATGGTCTCTAATCATAAACAAAACTGTAAGACCGGCATTTTAAGCAATATAACCATAGTAATCCAGCAGCTATTACACAAAGCAAAGATGCTTGCAAAAAGGTAGTCTGCTACGCGAGTACTGACACATTATATCATTAGAATTTTTTCAATAAAGAGGGGCCTATAATATTTTAACAATCCAACACATTAATAAGGCCTATAGCTAACTGGGTTTGAACTACTTAAAACCAGTGAAGGTCCTAGAGATGAGTAACCAAAGATTATAGTACAAATCATATTTCATAAGTGCATGCAATCAATTCACTTATACTCATCTATTGATGTCAACTATCTTAGTTCGTTAAAGTTCAGAGATCCAATCCCGCCTACATCTTTTACCTCTGGCTATACACCCCCCATACAAAACCCAAACTTTTCAATCTGTAATTGTTAGAACCATCAACATACACCTAGTTATCTGACATTAAACAATTGCATGCTATCAATTGAATCAAACCCAAAAATTACAACAACAAACACCCAATGTAATACACTAAATATAACTTACAATTCATATTACAAAAATTGCATGTACCACAAAGGCACAAACAATCCTGAATATCAAGAATCATACCTTGGTAACAGTCAACATTCTGCTAAGCAAAAATCTCGATAAAACATAGTAATGATCAGCATTATCACCAAGCCAAACTTTAACCTAATACCCAAAAAAAATAAAATCAACCCCACAACTTAAAAATCAAATTAACAAAAAATGGAATAAAAAATTGAATTAAAATTGTTGATTGAAACCTTGACGAAGTCGTATTTGGAAGAAGCGTTACGAGCGGCGAATCGAAAAGGGCGAGGATTGGCATCGTCGGGAAAATCATTGTTATTATCATCTGGTTCTTGACTGCCATTGGAACTCGGCGCAGGAAATGCAACTCCTTTGTCTTTCTTCATCTTCACTTTCTCAGTTTCTCTCTCCTCTGATATTCTGGTTAACACTTAGCAGCTGAGAAGTTTTACGTGTTGTTTTCTCCAGTTTGATGCTTCTCAATTACGGAGAAATGTATGATCGATCATACTCGGGAAGACCGTAATAATTAAATTGACCGTGTTAGTAATTTTTTATTTAAGGAATGTTTTCAATTTTCCGTTTTTAATTTTACTCGCGTAAAAGGCCTTGTTTGGTAAAGAAAATTTTGAAGAAAAAAAAAAGTTAAAATAATCAATATAAAGAATTGACATTTTGGTACTTGTCGGTTAAAAAAAAGTAATCGTTAAAAGAAAGGTGATTTTAATGATTTGTGGTGTTTAACTGAAGTCACATTAGAGCTTTTAATTCTATAAACATGAAGTAATATAAGTATGATTTCATTATAGATTTTATCATTATGAATAGAAAATTCGTACTCTCTTTGAGAGCTTACTATTTTTTGAAAATCTCATCCTATGAGAAGGGAGTTTTAAGGAAATCTCTCACCCGGAAGTCGAAAAACTAGTCAACTATTTCAGTCTTTTAACTCTCTCAAGGTTCACAATATCATTCTCGTCTTCTAGAGTAGTGGCTTCTATTTTGGATGTTTTATTATGAGTATCTCATAGCTTTATATCAATTTCACTTTAGGTATCTCAACCCAAACAAAGCTAACACCTATGACAAATCATTATTATGGACAGCATGTTTTATCAAGCTCAATAATTATTGTCATGACATAAAATATCGTACTTTGATTTTGTACTTTGTGCGGAGTTTTGATATCTTTTTCATTAAATATACTAGATAGGAGTACAAGTATTCATGTCATGTACGGGATCAAGCTTTTATAATATCTTGTTGTTCAAAGATAAAGTGTTACATAACACCAATTTTCTTAATTGTGATTTTTATATTAGGGGTTATAAATGAGCTTTTTTTTTTTTTTTTTTTTTTTTTTTTTTTTGCATAGTAAAATTAATCCATTAATAAAAAGTCATACGACATCTACAACGATAATCGAATTTAACAAATACATAATTTGAATCAAATAAAAATTTCCTTCATAAAAACTACGATCATCAAGCAGATCATGCAATGTAGAATATCTCCACTTATATCGCTGGAATTTACAGCCTTGTTGGAGAGACAATCTCACGATCCTTTGTAGTCGTGAGGATGATTTCCATTGGATTCATCTTACCGTATTCAAAAAATTGAAAACCTTTGCGACCCGCATAATTTTTCACCAACAAAACAATTTTACGGTAATCCATTAGATCTATTATTTCGCATTTTAAGCTAATGAAATTCCCCTTCGAAAAGAGGAGAAAAACCCTGTCTTTTGAAGGAGATTGAAAAACCTTGTCTTTTGAAGGAAATAAAAAAAAACCTTGTTTTTCGAAGGAGACCGAAAACCCTTTCTTTCGAGGGAGAAATCATTATTATAAACAAAAAAAAACAAACAAAAAAACTAAAGAAACAAAGGTTGGGGCTTTACCGATGAAAGCCCATTCAAAAATCAAGAATGGAGGCTAGGGTTTTTTTTAAAGAGAATATAGTAAAATTGACTCTTATATACACTATAAATGAGCTAATTTGACATGAGCAAAAGTGTTAAAATATTAATAATTTTTAAACAAATCTTACGTACAATAAAGGTCTACAAATTTAATCTTTTGGCAAGTGTCAAAGATGACAATAAATTTATTCAACTAAATCTAAGAATAACTTTGTTAAGAAAATTACTAATTAGCAACCAATGGTTATAGAATTCATCCTCTAACAAAATACATAAAGGCTTTTTTTTTTTTTTTTTTTTAATGAATGAACCAAAAATATTTGAAGACTTTCATCTATCTCAATTCAGTTTGCAACAGTTAAAAAGAAGGTACATTTAATAGTAAAAAATTATTCATTTGAATTTGAATTTTGCATTTAAATTCATCATGGTGTATTGAAATTTATCACCAAACGTTATTCATCAAGCTAATTTAATTTCCTTTCTTTGCAAAGCAATACTCCATACTTGATTATTATATCTCTGATCATACAACGGTTACACTAATGGCCTGTTCTATTCAACTTAAATTCAGTTTAGTTCCTAATTTTCTTCTCTCATAAACAATTCATTTCAACTCAATTCAGTTCAGTTAAGTTCAGCTCAGTTCAGTAAATCAGAACAAGCCCTTAAGTGGTTATGCAACCCTTCCACAAAATCAGAATAGGAAGGGTTCTGGAAATTCAATCAAGTAAAATAAAATTTGAATTTAATTGACCGATTTGTAAGTACTTGATTGCACCATGTATGATGTACAACAATTATATCTAGTGTTTTGTTAGAATTCAATCAAATAAAACTGAATTTTGATTTCACCCTATAATCTAATTATTTTTGTTCTTAATGGTCGAAATTATTTGATGGATTCAATGAAATAGTTGATTATGCCCATATAATCTACAAATCTACAATCTACACAAGTCAACAATGCATAAGATACTTTCAAGAAACTTTCATATTGTAAATTATTTTTATTTTTATTTTTAAATGTCACCCCACCCTCCCAAAATTCTTTAAAAAAAAAAATAAAAAAAATAAAAAGAGACAAAACCCTAACTTGCACCAACGGGAAAAAAAATTGAGAATATCAATTAAAAAAAAAAATAAAAACTCTTCTCCTCTCCTCTCCACTCAACACCTCTCCTCCACCACCATCGCCATTACCATGTCCGTCGACGGCGCATTTGATCGGAGAAAAGACCAATCTCCGGCAATCACTGCCGTAAACGGCAACATCAACGGCAACGGAGTCACGCTTTCTTCGGCGCCAACTTTCTGTCTGTCGTTGAACCCTAACAAAGAGCACAAACCCGACAATTACGATGACCTAGCATTGGAGTACGATCCTATGCTTTTTACCTGTCTTGAACGTTACTTGCCTCCTTCGTTGTTGAGCTCTTCTCGTGATTCTAAGCTTCATTTTATGCGGGATATTTTGCTCAAGTATTCGCCTGAAGGAGAAAGAATTAGGGTGAGATTTGTGATGATTTTTGATTGTTTTTTTGCTTTTGTTTTTGATTTTGGGAATTTTGTCGATTTGATGTGTTCTTTTTCAATTTTGCTTGGTATTATGTTTTTAATAAGGCTCAGAAGCATCGGGAATACAGGCAGAAGATTATTTCGAATTATCAGGTAAATTGATGGTTAAATTCTTGATGTTTGAGGAATCCTTTGATTATGTGAAATTGTTAATTGTAATATTGTTGTTGAAGCTTGTGTATTTTAATTAATGGAGTTGTTTGGAAATGATGAGATGTGGCTTTTGAATTTTGGTTGATGGAATGTGGATTTTGCTTCAAATTGGACGTTGATATATCTAGGGTTTGGTTATGGTTAAGCATACAAAATTGGGAGTAAAGGTTCTGGAAATGTGAAGACAAGTGATTCGATAATGGAATAGGCCTTAGTTGCTATTTGTAATTTGAACAAGGCAGGATTATACGTTTTTACTCCATTTTTTTTTTTAATAAATAGTAGATGTATGTACCATATTAGGATGTACTGCAAAAGGTTGTCACCTTTAGAATAGTGAAGGTTTACAATGTTATTCCTCTAGATGCTGCCATATAGAATAAGTGATGGCAACTGGCAAGAGAATGTAATGATACATCAATTTTATTGGGCTTATTAGCGGAATTGTCGTATTCTTAATTGTGAGGGGATTAAACAATTTGTCAAATTGACAACTTTCTATTGATAGTGGGAGTATTACGTACAATAGCTTGCAAAACCTTTGAGATTTTTTTGGGGAGGAGGAGAAAAGGTATCATTGCTATCCATACATAGGTCGCTAGGTGCTTTTGAATTTTTAAATACAGGGTATGTACTGGCTCCTCTGTAACTTCTATGAAGTCACCCTTGTCATCTTTTCCTTTGGTGGTTTTGTAAATTCTTTGGCGAGGGGGAAGGGTGAACCATCTTTTTTGTAATAAGAATAGGATTATTAATACAATTTGACTTTTCATTGATAAATGGCACTGCTAGCATTCTTTCTTGTCTAGATTGCTTTGTCTACATGATTGGATATACTAGTAATAGATTTTCCTATAACTATTCTCCTGTTCTTTTTTCTGTTCCTATTTTCACTACCTTTGTGATTCATTTTGTTGTGTTTAAGATTGTTTTGCCAGCATCCTGTTTTGAACTTTTGACGTCCTCTGATCTAGTATTAAGCTCTGTTTGGCTAATTTAGTTTTGTCCGAGTTATTTTATCTGGGTTTTCTAAACTTTTTTTTCTCTTTCTAAACTTAATTTATTTGAACTTATTTTTTTGAACTTATCCTAATTTTTTTTTTTGGAAATTAAATTAAATAAGTTAAAAATAAGATCTAACAATCAGAGCTGATTCTTCTCTTGGGAATACCTGATTCTTACCTATACTTGAGTTCCTGTAACTTAAGTTTGCTTTCTGTCTGCAGCCACTTCACAAAGAGCTGTATAGCATGCATGCTACAAACTTCTTTGTCCCTTCGTTTCTTAAAGCAATTCATGATAATACAGAAGAAAGTTTTCGAAGTATAATGTCTGAGCCTGCACCTGGGATTTTTACCTTTGATATTCTACAGCCTCAGTTCTGTGATTTGTTACTGAAGGAGGTATATCGGCAGGATTAATGTTTGTTTGTCATGTTAGTTTCAATTCATTTGGTTTTTCTTGTCTTACTTTATAGAAATCTCTTGCCTAGGTAGAAAATATTGAAAAGTGGGTTTGTGACACAAAATGCAAAATCATGCGGCCAAATACAATGAATAATTATGGTGCTGTTCTTGATGACTTCGGCATGGAAACTATGCTTCATAAACTAATGGAGGATTTTGTACGTCCCATCTCTAAAGGTAATGCATATTTTTCTAAGTGTTTCAAGAATATTCGGATTCCTAGGATAGAAGCATGTTTATGAAGATACTAATGTGTGGCTAAATCTGTATGCAGTTTTCTTCCCCGAAGTTGGTAATACATAATTTTCTAAGTGTTTCAAGAATGTTCAAATGCCTAAGACAGAAGCATGTTTTTGAAGATACTAATGTGTGACTTAATCTGCATGCAGTTTTCTACCCTGAAGTTGGTGGGTCCAGTTTAAT